CATCAATAACCCAAACTAAACTGTTTTTGGGAACTTTCTCCATGACTTCGACAAATACGCTGCCTGCTGTAGTCTTTGAATATCACAATTTTATTAAAACTTATTTAACGAAATAATAAGCCATCGTATGCAAAAACGAAAGACGATCTCGACAAAATTTATTAACGAAAAGCGGAATACACTTTAGACTTGCGCAAACTTTTTTTCATCAAATGAAATGTATTATGGTAATGCATCAAAAGTTAAATGCAGAAGGTGAAATGCAATTTAGATATTGCGTCATAATCTTTTTCGAGAAAGTGAAATGCATCATGTATTGCCTCTAATATTTTTTTCGAAAAAAACACCTTTTTTATTAATTTTTCGTCAAAATATTAATCGTTATGTGTAATGTTTCTGTTTTTTGCAAGAAGACATTTGGCCAATTAACTCAAAAATCTTCTCGTTTTTCGAATTATTTTTTGCGAAAAAAAACACTCAAGAAATATCATGCCTTTTGCACACCTTAATTCTTTCGACTTGCGTAAATCATTCTCATAAAAGATCGCGTAAGAGGTGACACCCTTTGGAAGCTTCCGTTACACGATTATATATCGCGCTTTCATCATCGTAGTTATCGAACTGTCGCGTTTTCATCATCGTACTTTCGCGTTTTTCAATCATCGTGCTTTCGCATTTTCACCATCGTAGTTTTCGTGATTTCGCGTTTTCACCATCGTACTATCGACTAATCGCGTTTCAGATCAACACATTCATAGGCAATGGCCCTAAACGGCATTCCGTAATTTGCACATAATTTTACACTCGATATCGTATAAACGTACATGTATTTATTGAGCTTCAAGCGATTCTTGGTGACTCAGTTTAGATTTTTTTATACCATATGTTGCTTTGATCATTTTAATTAGCGATAAAGTGTTTTCCAATTACTTGATTCGCCATAACGTTGAAAGTTTGTCGTACTGAAACATGCGAAAAGTCGTAAAAATATTGTCTTTGATTTTAGGAATTATTTTCATATTGTGCGGGCACAACATCAACGCAAGTGAGTTGCCAGTTTAAGCATTTTTTTCCGCTTATTTTTTTTATTATATTTTTCTGAGGCTCTTTTATATATTTATGTTACAATACGAATGGATAATAAACATGTAAACCTCGGCCACGTGTCATTCAAAGGAAAAAATGTTTAAAAAATATTTATTAAGGACACTATAACTTCGTACAGCAGTAGTAGAAAAATGTGTGCTTTACTTCGGTTAAAAACATAACTTATATAATTTTATGTCGCCAACAAAAGTGATTGTGGACTAATAATTCTAGCAAATTTAAGTCAAAAAAAGACTAAAGTTTTATATACGAAACCATTTTGAATACTAAAACGAAAATGCAAAATTTGAAAAGTTATATTGCAAATTGCTCGGGAAGTGTAAATAGTCTTCGTTCACGAGGCTTTAAAGTGATATTTTTGCAAATTTTATAATGGTCTTGAGGAAAAACCCTTTTTAAAATCCAAAATTCGGACTTAAGAAATAGTTTTACTATTAGGTTATTTAGTCTTGACGTAGAATTCCGATATGATTGTTTGGTAATAGAAAAAAAAAGGAAATTTTGCTATGTATAGGGCCGGCAAGTCCAAGTCCAAGGGGAAATAATCTTTCCTTGGACTATAAAAATATACACTCTATACGTTGATAAAGGTAATATTGAGCCGCGTCATGACAAAAACCAACATAATGCATTTGCGACCAGCATGGATCCAGACCAGCCTGCTCATCCGCGCAGTCTGATCAGGATCCATGCTGTTCGCTTACAAACCCTATATCAAGTAGAGAAACTGATAGCGAACAGCATGGATCCTGATCAGACTGCGCAGATGCGCAGGCTGGTCTGGATCCATGCTGGTCGCAAACGCATATTATGTTGGTTTTGTCATGACGCGGCTCAATTTTAATGCTTAAGAATACGTAAAGGCTGATATAGAGATTTTAGAGATTTTCTTGACTCCTTTATGAGCAGTCACGGATAATTTTGATAAAATATTTATTTCCTAAACCAACCACATGTCTTAGGGAAAAAGGGGAGCTAAGGGAATATTTTGACAATCGCAACTTTTCGGCCCTTTCCGTAAGATAAATTTTGTTAAAAATCTAAACGTATGATTGGACAATTTTTTCAAAATTCCGGCGATTGCGCAGTGTCTTAGTGACTTCTTTTAAGGAATCGGACGAATTCTGAAGTAAACGGCACCTCCATGAAGATGACCCATATTAGTATATTTTAGGTGTAATTTTGTTGATAAATTGCTGTAAGTCATTAATTTTATTCAATGTATGTCATATATCCTTCAATATTGCTGGGCAACTGGTTATTTGCCTGTGAAACAGATTTTGAAATATTTGGAATTGGGTTTCTGCCTTCTGGCAACACTGAACTACAAAATTGTTCATTTAAGGTCCCCTGCCCCTTTTATGTAAATTATCAGAGTTTTGGATGTAAATGAGGCAAAACGTTCTGTCAATGAATTGACTCGATAAAATATATCACTAACACGTGCAAGATCATGTGATTCTAGAAGGAATTGTTTGACAGTAAAATGCTTATTGCAATCAACTTCCATTTACAATGAGTATTCTCGCTAAAGTTATGAAAAAATAAGGTCTTAGCATTTAACTACTTCATAGTGATCATGCAATTCGTTTAATATTTCAGCGAATTATTGCCCATTTGGGCAACAAGAACCGGGACTATTCTGTGGAAGAGGACCGACAAGTCAGCCATGTCCGACAGGAACTTATTGCGAAATATCTCCAGTCGACGCCTATGCCGTATGCTGTCGTAAGTTATTCATCGTAAATTTATTGTGAAAGTAATCAATAAAGTATAACAATTTTAAAATTGTCAGGTGGGTGGGATAGACGAGTGAATGCAAAAAATGGCACAAGCCGTCGTGGATGTAATTCTCTTATGTATTGCAACATGGCAACAAATTTATGAATAGCGAATTACTCGTTCCCTGTCGACTCAAACTCATGTCATTTAAAATGGTTCACTACACCTTGAATGTTAAAAAATCTTTTATTTGTTGTTGTATTTTTAATTCCTTACATCTGCCGATCCTCCAGGTTTACTGACATTTCACTGGAGTGAGTCACCCGCATGTGTTTCCTTTATATAAATCATATTGCATTTATCCAACCACTTTAGAAAATATATATATATATATATATATATAATATATATATATATATATATATATATATATATATATATATATATATATATATATATATTGCTGATGTTATGTACGGTATGCGAAACATGCTAATTAAATCAATTGAAACTCTTTTTTATTTAAAAATTTACTGGGTAAAAGATTTTGATCAATGGTTGTGATTGTTATGTAAATGGAAATAATGATTTTTAAAAATTGAGAAAGCTTGATGGTGGTGGTGGTGGTGGTGATTGTAGTGGTGGTGGTGGTGGTGATGATGATGATGACGTTGACGCCGATGATGATGATAATGATTATGATGATGGTGATGGTGGTGATATTTACGTTGACGACGATGATGATGATATTGATGATGATAATGATGATGGTGATAATGATGGTGATGATGATGGTGGTGGTGATGATGATGATGATGAAGCTGCATTAACGATTATTATGACAAGGATAATAATAATAAAAATGATGATGATGTGGATTATTTCATTATATCATGATGGCGCACAAACCAAACATTTCAATATTTTCGTTACAGCTGTCTATTGCACGAATGGTCTGCCGAAGTACAAAGGCAATAAAAGCAGTAAAGGCATAGTTACGTGTGATAAAAATGAAAAAAAATGTGGCAGTAAATACATGTGCGAAACTATACCAAACTATGACGAGAAAGTTTGCTGTCCACGAGAGTCTAACTGAAAAATGAGTTGACGAAATAAATACATGTATTGATGACGACACACCGTTACAAAATAAAGCATTTATAAAATCTATTGTTCTTTTATTATATGTACTGTACATGTATTTAAGGAAAATTCCTAGTTATTAAAGTAATGCTGATTATATCAGAATAGATCTTTAATAGAAGCAGAAATATGAAAATATACAAAAAAAGATCCAGTGTATATATCATTTTATTTAAAAATATCATTTAAAATAAAAATAACAAAAAATGAAATACAATTAAAAAAGACTCATTATGCAAATAAGTTTTTTTTATGATCTGATAGTAGATACGGTATAAACAAGTTCCACAAATAAATGTACAGACTCAATCAAACCGAGTCAGCAATTTTCATGTAATTTCGCTTTTTTATTATTATTCTTTCGATGGACTACTTTTTTCCAGATATTTATATCTCCATCTAGATAAAACAAAATCACATTTAAATGTTTTACATCTGCGGATGTTTCTCTATTCAAAATTTCACCATTTTCATGTATTAATGATGAATTTTGGTTAAAGCAGCCGGTGCTAGAGGGCGTTGACGATAGTGTGTACTTGACATTACCATCCATGTACAGGCTCAATCAAACCGAGCATGCAATATTTTCATTCTGTCGTTTTGGACTTTTTTAATATTTGCTTTTTGATATACAAGGAGTTACTTACCAGCTATGAAATGCCCGTAAATGAATTTGATAGTAGTATCACTTTGAGAAAATACAATTATACGTCTAGCAAATTATGTAGATGACTGCTTAGCAGTACATTACAATTGTTCCATTCAATATCTGAGACAGGTAAAAAATGGAAATTAGGCACAATTACAATTAACGCTTAAAACAAAAAAAAGACAAATCACAAAATATGTTTAACAAGTCCTGATAAGTCATTGTGATATTTTATCACGTTTTTAAATATAGCATCAACACCTACACTCTGACCCTCGTATCTGGCTATTTCAGCATCCTTGTCGTCAATTGTTTTATTAATTTGGCGTCCACGTCGTACGCGCGGAGAAATTCTACAGAAATAAAAAGGCCCATGTTTTATTGACATGAACATGAACTATGGAAGTAAATATGTTCACTCAGGGTTTTTACGTCACTTAGATGCGAAACTGTTGAAACTAATGCGCAGTGTTTGTTATAAAGTGTGTAATTAACGCCATGTCGATTTTTTTTTTTGTTGTTTAATATGAAGTCTAAAATAATAAAAAAAAATATTGATACTGCTTTTTTTTAAATGCTCTGTTGGCATGCCACTTAAAATAAATTGATATATATCTATGCATTGTATAGTCTTGTGTTGCTACATGTAACTTGAGGGAATAAGTGTTGTTCTATTCTGTTCTGTTCTTAGAAATTAAAATACATTAATTCATTTGTATTATAAACTATATAACAGTCGCATCGTTTGATAGGAAAAGCGGAAAGAAATCATGCATTGGCCAAACACCCTAAGAAAATATTGTAAATATGAAAAGGCCTGTTGAGGTTATTTTTGTAAATGTTCTATAAAAGGCAATTATATAAGAAATCTTTAATTTCATAAATGCAATTTATCAGAAGGGAGACAACCTTGCGTGTGTGTCATTATGTACATATTATACTTGTTATCTCCCTTCTATAAGTCAGTTTTATGTTTTTTTAGAGATGTAGATGTTATCTATGTCTCTTTGTTTTCGAGTTTAATTTCCATCATAAAATTTTAGTTTAAAACTTACAAACTGTGTGAATGAATGTTTTAAATTGGTTTTGAATAACATGTCTTTGTTTAGCGTTATATTCAAAGTTTTGTAATGCTTGTATTAATGTCAATCTGATTAAAATTAGCTCTAAATAACGCTCCGCTTTTAGAATCTAACAGTGACCAGTTACGAATTGAATTTCTAGTGATCTTTCACATAGCCAATCATCGGCGAGCTTTCATAATTTTCAAAGCAATGCGGCTTTTCTAATTTTAAACCCTGGAAAAACCCAATACTTAGAAATGAAATAGTCACGATTTCCCGAGAAACAAACTTGCCGTTGTCCATTATAGCCGACAGGTAAAACTGGCAAAACAATATTTCCAATTAAAAAAATTGACTCTATAATTTCAAAGTTAATTTGTGAAAAAATTAATCAGATGCTATATAACAGAAATAGGTAGATTAGATCTGAACTTTAGTCAGATTGGATTTAAAGTAGAAATTCATTAATTTCCCTTTTTGCAGTCCAGAACCAGATGGTTTTTAAGGAACAAAATGACCGCCTGGAATATGATGCAATGATTAAGAATTTTGCATTTTTCGTTTAAATACGAATTGGTTTTTACATTGTTTACGTCCGATGACTTATTTTAATCAAATCAAGCTTATCGGTACACCAAATGTTACATGATACATGTACATATTATAAGTTTCTTGCATATCAGACAGGATTATCTACAGTTTACATAGTTCTGGCTTCCAAAACTTTATAAGCCGCTATTTAACATTTTTGTTTTTCATCTGATGCGGCATTAAAGTTTTGGATTAGACCCGTTACGAAACCTAACCAGAATAACATAAGTTGATTTATTCTTGTTTTTCACATGCAGATAACACTTGACCAATCAATTCGTTTGCATTTTACGATAAAACAATTATTTTAATATCGTTTTATACCAAGTAAAGTATCAAAATATTAATACTGTCATTAAAAATTGCCTATTAAACTGTAAAACATCAATTTACGCCGACTACAGTCGGCCATGACATTCAGGTGCCACGCGAGATCTCGTATGACGTCATTGGGGCGGGAACAGATTTGAATAGAGTCGTGTACTATATTTAGAACATTTTGTTGACATGATTTCGATATTTTTATTCAAGATAATGTTTTTATTTATTTTTCATTAATTTTTTAGTACTTAAATATGATGTTATTGAAGATATAAAAGTCAGTAAATCACGCTTTTCAATAATCTTAAAAAAAAAGTAATTTATAAAAATATTGGAGGCACATGGGTTCATAAAGGTCAATCTCGTAATCACGTGGTCAAACATTTTGGCAAATATGGCGGCCAAGTGCCGAAATTTTACCTGTCGGAAACTATTAGGTAGTTTATGTTCGTAATAAGATTTTTATTTGTCCATCCTTTGCTTATCAACAGATTATATATAGTTTTATCAAGGTATGCTTCACTTTACTTCATGGCATGTTCGATGAATAAATACGAGCGTGTCAGATTCCTGGCACGATTATTGGTGGACTTTCCCTACGGGGTTATCTTCAGCGTTCACGTCATGTCATAGTATATAAACGGGTACGCTGAAGACCTTAAGCTACAGTTTACACCGATGCTAGAATATAAGAATCTTACACCGGCTGCCGGTACAGACCGGAATATCTAGCTCGAGGGTGATTGTTTCCGCCGTAAACAGTCACCCGAGAGCTAGATATTCCAGTCTGCACCGACAGCCGGTGTTTGATTCTTTTTCTTGCATATTACATATCAATTATTTTTGAACAGAAATTACGGAAACTGATATTCTCATTACGCACTTTTTTCTAATAGTAGCGTATGAACTTACAGCTTCATTCATAACGGTTGAGTGAAGTCATCCTAAGAACGCAATTCATTCATAAAACGCGCAGCAATGACGTCATTTAAAGCACGCAAACTTGTCTTACATGGAGGTGTAAGACAGGGTTTTCTAGCACGCGGTGTAATCGGGTAATAATCCTGTCTGATATGCAAGAAAACTCTATCTTACACCCCTATGTAAGACAAGTCGCGTGTTTTAAATGACGTCATTGACGCGCGCCTTTTATGAATGAACTGTGTTCTAAGGATGACGCAATTTAACCGTTATGAATGAAGTTGTAAGTGCATACGCTAACTATTAGAAAAAAAGTGCGTTATGACAAATGACGTCATTTAAAACACGCGACTTCTTTACCAGTTCGTGTTAAATGTTGAATTCTGCTTTAGGCCGGTGCTAGAGGGCGTGGACGGTAGTTTGCACTTTACATTACCGTCTATGAACAGGCTCAAATCATATAAAAATAAATTGCAAACTTCTGCGAAACAATGACATATAAATATATATTCTTTATTATATTTAGTCTCATCTATACATATTTCAAACATAGACAAATATACAACGCTATATGACACATCATGTCCCAATTATTTTGTTTTTATATTTTAAGGTACCTAAATGATCGATCGGGCGATACTACATTTTAGCTGTGAATACAATAACGTTTTGTTACATTAAAACATTTAAGCTCTTGTGTTTGTATTATCGTCAAACACAGATCATTTTTAAAAGGCATATTTTTACCCTTGATTAGATCTATATCTCAACTTAAGTTTATAATGAAAACAAAAGAAAAATAACAAAGAAAAAAACTTGTTAAAACAAGAACCGTTTAACCGGGGATGATGCTCCCCGAAAAAGGTTATGTTACGAAAAAAAGTAATGCCTCTTGTTTTTCAGATTTTAAGCAAATAATTCCAAAAACTTTCAGACCTATGTCCTGGACAATGTTCAAAAGTGTTAAAATGGAACAAAGGGGCCAATAACTCCAAAATAAGGCCCAGGGTTATAGTTTCTTTTGCAAGGCCCTTCCTAACCCCAATGAAGATCTATCTACCTACAAATTTTTATGTTGATTTTGCCTTTATAAAAAGCACGAAATTATCCCTTTAAAACCAAATGTAAAACTTAAGTTTGAAACAAGAACTAATAAGTCTAGCGGATGGTATTCGGACAATATCACCGCTTTTTGTTTTTGTTTGGGTTTTAACGTCACATTTACCGAACACAGTTTAAATGTCATTTGGCGACATTCCAGCTTTACTGGTGGAGGAGGACCTCAAGGTGCCCTTCTGTTGCATTTAATTCAGGCACGGACGGGCACCTGAGTAAGAACCACAACCGACATTCCGTTAGCTAGCTGGATTTGCTTCCTCACAAAGGAAAGAATCAAAAAGTCCCTGTCGGGATTCGAACCCACAGCGGTAAGGGGGCGAAGTGGTTTTGAAGTCAGCGACCTTATAGA